GTATTTTGATCAATTTTTGAACAAATTTTTTTTCCCACCATTCAACAATCGATATACTGTAAATACAGTATCCACCAACAGTGTCATTGGTTCTTTTCACAAAATAAAACGGAATTAAGCAAAAAAAAAAAAACCGAACAAAAATCATAACAATAACAATAAATTTGTAATTAAAAAAAAAACTAATTTTTGTTTCTTTTTTCTCTCCAACTACTAATAAATTTTAATCTATTTATCTAACATTAAGTTTAATCTTAACTAAAACAACAACAACAACAACAACAACAAAAATTTCTAATTAAAATATCAAATTGTTTTTGTTTTTGTTCTTTTAATTTTTTTTTCTTTTTTTTGGCTAATATAAATTCAGAAATACATTTATCTGTATTTTTCTTTGACGGGTATCTGATTGATATTTGTATTATTTAGCAAAAGAAAAAAAAAAAGTTTTTTTGCTTTATTATAAAAAACATTGCTTTTTTTTATTTTGTTCTAAAATTAAAAAGAAAAAAAAAAGATTAGTTAAAATTTAAAAAAAAAAGAAAAGAAAAAAATAATATATTTTTTCAGAAAAAAAAAAAGCAAAAAGAAGACAAAATAAAATTGATTATTTACCTGGAAAAGCTCCGGAGGTACATTATTTTTCATAAGATTTCTTTGTACAAATTGTAACGAATCTTTCGAATAATTCTGAAACTTCAAATCAACAAAATTATTTTGTATCCCAATTATTTGTGCAGATATTTTTTTGTTTATTCTTTTTTACTTTTTATATATATATATAAATGTATTTTTTTTCTTTTCTTTTTTTTTGCATCAAACGATGCTAAATGTTAAGTGATATAATCTGTAAAAGAAAATTTCTTTATGCAATTCTATTTTCTTCATCCTAAATTTCAACTAAAACTATCTTATTGCTCAGTTTTTGTACTAATAAAAACTAGCAGAAAAAAAAAAAAAGGAAAAACAGTTTCTTCAATTTCAACAAAAAAAAAAAAACTTTAAAAAATGCAGAAAAAAATAATGGGGTAAAAATGGGTTGGCACAAACCTTCTCTATCATTTTTTTTTCTTTTTTTTTGCATATTTTAATCTTTTAATTAACGTATATATATACTTCTGTTTTTTTTTCCTTTCTCTGTTATCAATTTTTTTTCAATATCCACAGAATGTTTACAGGTCACCTGTAAAGTATTCTTAAATTTACCTACTTCAGTGTGCTGTACTCACTTTTTTCTGCTTCAATTCTTGGAAAAGTGAAAGAGACGGTAACTGGTAAAGTTTTAGACGACGAGGTGCGTTGGGAAATGAAATGGAGAGCGGAAAGGGAGCAGAAAAAAGAAGGGGGGGGGAGGGGGAAAAAAAAAGGAAAGAAGTAAAAAAGCAAAAAAATTTTTAATCTTTAAAAATTTCTGAAATTTTTTTTTTTGGTTTAAATCAAAAATGAAATTGGCAAAAGAGCAAAGGAAAAAGGCACCAACAGCAGCAGTGGTAACTTTTTTTTTTTTGTTTCTTGTTTTTCTTTAACCTTTAATAATTAAAAACAAAGAAGAAAGTGGTTTTTACAAAAATAAGTGACTTTGAACAGTATATTTCTATTAGAAAAAAAAAAAGAATCTTTTTTTTATTGCTGCTGCTACCGTTACTGTCAACTTTTCGTTTCAGTATTCCGCAAAAAAATCGGCGACAATTTAGTGGGGGGTATCACTGATCAATCACTGATCAAAGTTACGTTTAATCGTTTCTTATGGTATCCATTTGACTACCAAATTGTGAAATATGTGAAAATAGAAGAGGAAAATAAGTGCATAGTAGATCTATTATCTAAATTAATAGCTAATTTGTAGACAACTATTACCTGCCCTAAAACCTATAGTTTAATCTTAAGCACTTAAGTGTATATCAACATCAAATAAACAGTTGTTTGCTCTTACTTTTTTTTTTCAGCTGCATTCTCCCTTCCCAAAACATATTTTTTATTGTCATTTTCCTAAACAAATAACTGCAATTTTATTACTGTAACATCTGTGGCAAAAAAAGAAAAAAAAACCCCTTCCACAATCTTCTTCTTTATTCATCATTCAATTTTTTTTAATTTATTTTTTGTTATTTTTTAACAAAGTAAATTTATATACGACAACGAATATATACATATGTATATTGGAAGGAGATAATGAAAAGAAGTTTAAAAAAAACAGAAAAGGAAACTGAAACGAACATGCGTGTGAGCAAGCATTTCAACCATAATATGATGATCATAAATTTCTCGTGCCTTCGTCAAACGTTCTTCTGCAGTTTCCATTTTCTTATACTCTTTTATCTGCAAATAAAAAAAAAAAAAAA